CACCAGTTAACAATCTGAAAGTTGTTGGTAAGCAGGTAGTTGGCCTATAGTTTCTTGGTGCTGCCCCTTTTGTTGGATCTTTCATTATCAGGTAGGTTTTGCCAGATGTTAACCAATCTTCAATTTCACCCCCTTGCAGTATGTTGTTAAACTGCAGCTTCTCAGGAAGGAGGGAGCACATTCTAGCGGGGAGACAAAAGGCAACATAGTCCAGAGAAGGAGCATGGGAAGAAGAAGAAACTTAAGATAGCCACTCCCTAGATTCTCCCAAAGTAGATTTATTAGGTTAGCATAGTACAGATTTAGTCTGGCAAGATTCTGTCTATATGGTGTAAGCAATAAAGAACTGAACTTGGCTGGATTGTTTCCCGGTTGTTCTTGAGCTGGGTCTGACATGTTAGACCCAGCTGAAACAGGGTGGCTAACTTGTAGTTCAGCATATTTTATAAACCAGCTCATCAGAATGTAAAATATAATGCTTTTATTTGGTTATTGCATGTCATGTGAACATAGCAATTGTATTTTCTTAAACTAGGTTTATTTTTAAGCATGTTGCATGATCCCAGTTAATGTAGCTTTGGATTCTAATGGAGATATAAATAAGTATTCTTGAGCTTCAGTCTCTCAATTGGCCTGATTTGTATTATTCATTGTTCTGTACAACAAACATAACTGCCTACCATCTTGCACATTAAGCTAACACAATCAGGTGAACTTGGAATATATATAGTTGTAGTTACAAATTCGTTGTTGTTGTTAATTGTTTTCTGTAGGTGTTTGCTTAATGTGTATTTTTTTTCTTTATATTTGGTGATTGTTCATTTTTATTTTGCATATGTTTGTTTGAAAATGGATCAATTCAAATTAAAAAAAATTAAATATTATTGAAAAGTGGAAAGGAAAGGAAATAATCCTGCATGTACTATAACCTGAGCTGACTCCACAACTGCATATCTACAAAGGCATCTACTAACTCATTTAATTTTACCTTTCCTCTAGAACAAGAATGCACAACTTGCAGCCCTTGTGAATTTTGGATCATGGCCTAATTGAATGCAATCTTCAATTACATTTCAAAACCCTTGTACAAGAGATCGCTTCAGAACCCTGAGCTTTGAGTAAATAACACAGTGCCCATGGTAATGACTAAATTCCATTTCTCATCTGATTTTTGAAAGATTATTTTAATTAAAAATATTAAACTGAATGTTGCATGCTCCAAGCAAACCACCTACATCTAGTATATTTATTTGCAGAGCTGACATTGAGCCTAGGGTTCCATTGGGATAGTAGATCAAACGTGTTAAGGGCTAATTTGCCTTCTGCTAAACGGATATTTTGTGACTGGCCATTTCACAGTAGACCCAAACATGACAAAAAGGATTGCTTGTCCCTGCCTGGGGTTATCTGTCCCTTCCCTGCAGCTTGATGCCTGGGAAAGAGAGCCACATGTATTTGAAAAGGGAAGGAAAGGGAGTGCCCCAGCACTTCATGTCTCTCTTATTGCCTATGATCTTTCCTGGCAACATGGAAATTGTGATTGTTTTATTGTGATCCTTCGTAACCATTTGAATTTGAATCTCTAAGTGAAGCCCAGAATGTGGAAGGGGGGAGCCTTATCACCTTCTATTTAAAATAAACCTTCAGAAATAAGATAATGAGATACATGGAATGCTCACTAAGAAGAGAATATTAGAAGCCCCGGGTAGGATTCAACACGAGTGTCATCACTTGGCTGATCTGATTAATTCAAATCAGCATATGAAAGTCATGTCCCCATCCCTCAATGCTTCAGCAACCTTCCTAATCATTGGTTCCTATTAAGTGTCCTTTCTATGTCAATCTCCTGTTTCTAAACCATGTTGGAGAATCTGTGCTCATTTATTATACGTAGTACTTTTAGGCAGAGTGTTTTGAAAGCAGTATAGAAAGTTAAATGGTTAAGACATCGAAATGTAAAAGTACAATTACCCCAAAACAGCAGCATGAAACATTGAAAATAACAACAGTGAAAAACTCCAATTTATACTATAAATATAAACATGGAACATATTCTGTCCTGGCCCACACTATGACCATCCCATCTACTTGAGCTTCCTTATCTGTCCGCCATCATTGTTTTCTTCTGGAATGGTCAGAAGACAAAACAGTCATTCCTTGGCCATACAAAATTGCATAGCCTTCATGATGGGTAGAGGCCACAGGGAACATGACCTTCCGTTCTTCATGACCCTCCTCCTGACTTTTTGCTAAATTATTTTCAGGGGAAAAAAGGCAAGGAAAAATAAAGTGTTTTTTCTCATGGGCAAAATATTTCTTGAATTTCTTGATTCAGCCTGGAGTTAGCACTAACTTTACTGTAGAAATGTGCTCCTTATCACCTCTAAAACATGGACATCCAGACAGATAACTGTGTCTAGGAGTACATCCAAACAATTATTGGAGTCTCCAAAGAAAGTATATCACCATTTAAAATATAAGCACTCAATTTTGTCTGGATTAATCTTAAGCTTGTTCCTTTCACCCAGCCCATGAATGACATCAAAACCTAGTTTAGAACTTCAGCAGCTTTCCTGAATTAAGATGGAAAGGTATATGAAAAGTAAAAGTTAGCTTAATTCCTGTACTGAAATTGATGTCTAAGTTTGCAAATGTGACTTGGTTTATGTTTCATGAATTCTCAGTATCAATCAGCAGATGGCAACCTTTCCCAAGGCACATTTTCAAGACTTTTCATGGGCTACAAAGAGCTAGACTAAGATAATGTACAGTCTTTCTGTAAAGATTTCCTTGAGTTGCCCACTTTCCCAGTACCGGTATTTGAGAATGTAACCTATTTTTCCATCTGTAGTTTATACAGAGAACCTTAATTTAAAAAAAAAAGTCTTCAAATTAGTTTGACTCCTAGTGACTCCATGAACATATCCACTTAATTTTCTTGGCAACAAGGCAAAAGTGGCTTTTGTTTGACTTCTGGAATTTGTCCAATATTCTAGCCTAGCCTATGGCCAGACATGGCCTGGCAGTCACCTATATGGCTACTAATCTGCCATGGCCTCACTTATCTTCCAGGCCTAGAGGGAGTTAGCCAAGGGCTGATACCTGATACTCCACAGCTCCATGGAGGGGAATGAGGAAGCATGTGTGATGCTGTCAAGACAGAAATCCTG